GCCTCCGGCCCCCGTCGAGCCGCCCGACGCTCCCACGGCCGCCATCTTAGATTTTTTTTCGTCCTCTCAGGCAAGCTTAAGGAGAAAGGGGGGGCACTGCGCAGGCGCACGTCGCGGCCCGCACGCGAGGCGACCTGGGAGATGGAGTCTTCGGCGCGGCGGCGCGGGGATGCGAAAGCCGCTGGGGTGGGAAGCCGGGCGCGTAGGCGGCCCGTCGCCCCGCGAAGCATCACGGGAGGTGTAGTCTTCCCGCGACGAAGGACCTTTAAATCCCTCTTTGCCGTCCCTTTCTTTCGAGACCTCCCAGCTGGGCTCCCAAGAGGTTCCGCCGCCGTAAATGTGGTAGTTGTTACGGTGCGGTTAGGCATTGCCAAGTAAAACGGCGACCCTTCTGGAATAGGAAAAATAGAATACATAGAGAGAGAGATCCTAGCAGGTCTACTCAGAAGCAAGTCTCATTTTATATTGGGTTTACTCTCAGAAGGATTGGAGACACCGTATGATAGGAACTGTCCTTTAGAATGTATTTTTTGAATAAACAGAATTATGAATGGTTAGTAGTTAACAGTATTATTTCAAATCACGCCTGTAAGAATATAATTGGCGGTTACTAGAATAACAGAATAAGGAAGATAAATATTATTAATAAAAGTAATTAATTGCTTTTATATACTTTACCCAATATAGTGGGCAATGGCTATGCCATAAGCATATTTTATTAATGATGTGGTATTAAAATTTATCACTATAATTATGTTTAATAATCTCATGCAATAGAATCAGTCATTATTAATTCTAGCAAAAGGAATTATCAGTCATATATGTGCAATAATTAGGTTTCCCTTGCTCGAAAGCCAGTCAAATCCGACTCTAGGGATGCGGTGCTCATCTCCATTTCCAAGCCGAAGAGCCAGCGCTGTCCAAAGACATTTCCGAGGTCATGTGGCCAGCATGACTAAACACCAAGGCGCACGGAACGCTGTTACCTTCCCACCGAAGCGGTACCTATTTATCTACTTGCAATTTCTTGCTTTTGAACTGCTAGGCTGGCAAGAGCTGGGACCAGAGACGGGAGCTCACTCCGTCATGCGGCACTTGGGTCTTGAGCTGCTGAACTACCGACCTTCCAGTCTGCAGTTCAGCATCTTAACCACTTGAGCCACCGCAGCCCCAATAATGATCTTAATAACCAGCATAATGTAGTGGTTTAAATGTTGTACAAGAACCTGTGAGACTCTGGTTTGAATGTCCACTGCCATGGAAGCTTGCTGGGTTACCTTGGGCCAGAAACACACTTACAGCATAACCTACCTCACTGGGTTGTTAGGACAATAAAATGGAGAAGGGGTCTATGGAAGCTTTTTCTGGGCTCTCACTGGGGACAGCTAGTTTGGTGCAGTGGTTAAGAGTGGCAGACTCTAATCTAGAGAACGGAGTTCAATTCCCCACTTTTAGCTAGCTGGGTGATCTTAGGCAAGTCACAGCATTCTCAGCCAAAAAGAGAAGAGCATAATTTGCCAACCAGTAGTGTGAAAAAAAGAGTGACAGCTTTGGCAGCCAAACTGGCAGCCCCCTCTGGGGATCTCCTGGCTATTCCACACTCAACGGCATACAATAATTTCAGTTTTACTGAGGAGAAAACTGAGGTAGAAATGAAGTAAATAAACACATCTCTGGGCTAAGGTTACCAGATGTCCTCTTTTTAGAAGACATGTCCCTTTTTTTGGTGTCCATGATCTTTTGAGCTCTTTTTAAAAACCCTGATGAAAATGTCCTCTTTTGGGGTTGGAAGGTCAGGAATATTCCTAGTTAGTAGCAATAACCACGGCTTAAATAGTAAGGTTATTTAAAATGAGATTTGTCACAGTGATCACTTGTTCAGAAGTAGTCAGTCTGGAAATATGTCCTCTTTTTTGCTTTTCAAAATATGGTAACTCTTCTCTATGCAATAATAACACGTTATAAACAATAAGGTCAGTGTACCTGAAGAAGTGTGCTTGCACATGAAAGATTATACCATGAATAAAACTTTGTTGGTCTTAAAGGTGCCACTGGACTCAAACGAAGGTCAGTAATTGATATCCCAATATTGTTATGTCCAATACTAAATTAAAAAACATCAATTAGTACTATTAATCGATCCCAGTAATCACTAACAATAATCGTACAAATTATTAGACGTATTAAACTGTCATTATTAACAATAAAATCCAATTGCTCTTGTTTATGCTTTCCTCCCTCGGATGTGCCTGATGGGAGATGTAGTTTCTACACGTCCATCCTGCGGAGGCAAGAGACTGGAACGCTCGCGGTACATTGTCTCCGCGCTCCCTACAGCTCCAGGCTCTCGCGGGGGGTGTTGGGAAACGTAGTCCGTGCCTTTCTCCCACTCGCCTCCTCAGCACTACGCGGGACAGTGTAAGGGCAGAAGGCTTTGAAACGAGCGCGACCAGCTCAAAGAAATACGACAGCGTTACAGAAAGTCGGAAGGAGGAGACTCCGGCCGCGTGCTTCTATGCCCGCGTCCCGAATGCTAAACTACAACCCCCAGCAACCTCTGCCTCTTCGTTTGCCCATAATCCATCGCGGCAGCTCCTTCCGTCAGGGACTGTGGGGGGGCTGCGCAGTACGGAAAGAGGCTGGTGCGCGGTGCATTGTGGGGTCGGGGAGAGGTGGGGTCATTTTTTTTTTTGGAGCCATGGACAACAGTCGAGATGCGCCAGGTGAGTCTCACCTCAACCCATTGTCACCAGGTAACTGTCCCCTAATTCCCCCCCGCACACCGGTGCGTGGCCTGATCCTGCAAATGTGTTGCTTTCCTACTCATCCTCCCACCCTGGCCTGTGCTTTTCTCTTTCTGCTTCGGAAATGCGCCTTTGCCCTTTTCCGTTCTCTTTCCCACACAGGCGAGTCGTGTCCAGTGTTCCCTCTAAGCTGAGTTAGTGTGGGCTAGCTCACAGTTTTTTAGCCTCCGGCTCACACATTTTTCTCTTAGCTCAGGAAGAGATGGCGCCAGAGCAAACTAATTTACGCAGTAGCCAAATCGCTCGGTCACAACTTTAATGCCAGTAGCTCCCAAAGTAGAATTGTTGCTCACAAGATTCCACAGCTTAGAGCAGTGTTCCCTCTAAGGTGAGTTAGTGTGAGCTAGCTCAAAGTCTTTTAGCCTCCAGCTCACACATTTCTGTCTTTGCTCAGGAAGGGTGGCTCCAGAGCAAACTAATTTATGCAGTAGCCAAATCGCTCGCTCACAAATTTAATGCCAGTAGCTCCCAAAGTAGAATTTTTGCTCACTAGTCTCCACAGCTTAGAGCAGTGTTCCCTCTAAGGTGAGTAAGTGTGAGCTAGCTCAAGGTCTTTTAGCCTCCAGCTCACACATTTCTGTCTTTGCTCAGGAAGGAGGGGCTCCAGAGCAAACTAATTTATGCAGTAGCCAAATCGCTCGCTCACAAATTTAATGCCAGTAGCTCCCAAAGTAGAATTTTTGCTCACTAGTCTCCACAGCTTAGAGCAGTGTTCCCTCTAAGCTGAGTTAGTGTGAGCTAGCTCAAAGTCTTTTAGCCTCCAGCTCACACATTTCTGTCTTTGCTCAGGAAGGAGGGGCTCCAGAGCAAACTAATTTATGCAGTAGCCAAATCGCTCGCTCACAAATTTAATGCCAGTAGCTCCCAAAGTAGAATTTTTGCTCACTAGTCTCCACAGCTTAGAGCAGTGTTCCCTCTCAGCTGAGTTAGTGTGAGCGAGCTCAAAGTCTTTTAGCCTCCGGCTCACACATTTTTGTCTTTGCTCAGGAAGGAGGGGCTCCAGAGCAAACTAATTTACGCAGTAGCCGAATTGCTTGCTCACCACTTTAATGCCAGTCGCTCACAAAGTAGAATTTTTGCTCACAAGACTCCACAGCTTAGAGGGAACATTGGCTCGTGTCCTGGCCACTTAGAGGCGAAAATGTATATTACAGCTTGGGCTTTCAAAGGGAGAGCGCCAGGAACAGGGAACCTGTTATGGAGGTAGAATTGGCCTGCAGGTTTGGAGAGAGAGAAAAAAGCACAGTTGTTGTGTAATAGGTAGTTAGGTGCAGTGTTCCCTCTGAGGTGAGTTAGTGTGAGCCAACTGACAGTTTTTTAGCCTCCGGCTCACACAGTTTTGTCTCCGCTCAGGAAGGATGGGGCTCCAGAGCAAACTGATTGATGCAGCAGCCAAATCGCTCGCTCACAACTTTAATGCCAGGAGCTCACAGAGTAGGATTTTCGTTCACAGCTTAGAGGGAGCCTTGGTCAGGTGTGATGGTTGGAATGTTGGCTGGAGGTTGGATTCAAATCCCTGACCTGCCGTCGGGCTTACTGCTGGTCCTCAGGCCGCTTGTTCACTCTCGGCCTTTCAGGATGGAATGGGGTGAAAGGACCAGGCTTCCTGAAGGAAGGAGGAACAAAAAATAAAATAAAAACTAGAGAAGAGCAGGAGTCCAGTAGCTCCTTGAAGACTAACAAAATATGTGGCAGGGGATGAGGTTTTGTGAGTCACTGCTCACTTCTTCAGAAGTGAGCGGTGACTTATGAAAGCTCATACCTTGCCACATATTTTGTTAAGTCTTTAAGGTGCTACCGAGCGGTGACTCACAAAACCTCCTATCCTGCCACATGTTTTGTTAGTCTTTACGGTGCTAGTGCGTAGTGACTCACGAAACCTCCTACCCTGCCACGTATTTTGTTAGACTTTAAGGTGCTAGTGAGCGGTGACTCACAAAACCTCCTTCCCTGCCACATATTTTGTTAGTCTTTAAGGTGCTACTGGACTCTTGCTCTTTTGTGCTGCTACAGGCAGACTAACACAGCTACCCATCTTGGGGAAAAAATTCTAATTTTTGTTAAGAGGATAAAGACTGTATCCAAGATACCTAAAAATAGAAAGCTTCTTAGACTTGAAGAACTAGAGAGCCTGCTCTCTTGCAGTACTTCTGGAACAAAAAGCTTTTACTATGGATTGATTGGACTACTTATAATCTTTCATTTTTGTGCAAGTTTGACACTATCAGGTTGGGTTAAATAGGAGTGGGTAACTCACCACAGAAAGGATTCTCTCGCACAGAGCTTTTAAAGGTGTGCATGTGCTCGGCATTTTACGTTGCTAGTGACTCACCAGTTGTAAATGGCCCATGTTGATGGGATCATAAACTCCTGTTGCTCCATAGGAATAATCTAAAAATAAAAGTTTTACTTACAAAATGTATTCCCTACTTTGCTGTCCTTATCAGGCCTGTCAAGGCTGCTAACAGATTGAAAACGTAATAAAATAGTCTTTAAAAAAAACCCATTCAAACCAAATAAATACATGCATTAAAACAATTACAACCAAAGCTAAAATGTGTATACCAAAACATAAAAACAATAGATTAGAGGCAGGAAGGAGAAATCACTGAGGGAATGCCACATGAAACGAAAAAGGCTTCACCATCTGGAGAAAGACAGCAACAGGCAAATCTTCCTGGGAAAAGAATTCCAGGGTTTGGGCGCTGTGACTCATAAGGCCCTCTCCCAGGCTGCAACCTGCCTAATCTACACCTGAAACAGGGCCTTGGGAGATAAACAAAGTGGATAAGTAGGTTTGTAAGGGAGTAGGTGTTCCTTCAGGTATGCTGGTCCCAAGGTTGTGTAGGGTTTTAAAAGTCAGCACCAGCACCTTGAATTGTGCCTGAAAACAGATCAGGAGCCAGTGTAGATGGGCCAAGACTGGAGTGGTAAGATCCGTACGATTCACTCCAGTTAACGTCCTGGCTGCAGCATTCTGCACGAGTAGAAGTTTCTGAACGCTTATCAAGAGCAGCCCCATGTTGAGTGCATTGCAGTAATCTACTCTAGATGTGTAAAGATGCATAATACTTTTGATTAAAACTGACCAACGTATCATGAAACAGTGTGCAAACTTCCACATTAATCAGGGTGGATGATAGAAAGCCAACATGTGGGACTGGTTAATGTATTCAAATGGATCTTGTTTTAATGTGCAGTGTAACACAACATAAATGTTGCCCTGGAAAATGGAGATTTAAAGCATTTCATGCATTTGATGAAGAGGGTTGTAGCTGATGGAACTTGTCTAACAATAACTTAGTCTTTAGCGTGCCACAAGATTCTTCATTAAGCACACACGTTAACATTTGGGAGTGTTTAGAGGGTGGGGTGAAAAATCTTTGAAATGCAGTGGGTACAAGGGATTGTATCTCTGTGTAAAATTTGGCTGTGAAAATGCCTATTGGTAGATGCAGAATTACTCTCCATGCTATTTCCCTTTCTGAGCTCAACAGGTTGGTATTTTTGTAAAAGGTGAATACCTTTGTTGGAAAAGTGAGGCATACCGGTCAGGTTTTGGTGTAGAAATTAAAACTATACAGTCATGAGATACCCAAATAAAGCAGGCGTGCTAATCCAGCCAATTTAGAGATTAACTTTTTCTGGACATTTTGAAGCCGGGGGGGGGGGGGGGGGCTACAATGTTATAACAATCCAAGCTAAAGTGTATTCTTTGGACAGAAACTCTTGTATGTAGTCACAATGGGTGGGACTACCAGCATATTTGGGTGACAAAGTACGCTTATAACATTGAAACATCTGTAAGAATGCATTGTGTGTTTAATAATATTACATTAATTGCTGCAAAAATTATTTACACATAAACAAAAGAAATTCTTGGAGAGCATTGTGTATGTCTACGGTATACTTTAGGTAATGCTGTAGGTTGTCCTGCATAGAAATTATCATTCTACACATTTTGATTAAAACCTTGTCTTTAATTTCACTCATTCCAAATGGGCACAGGAGATTCACTGGTGCTTTTTTCAGTGTTTCCCAGTTTTTCGTCATGCTATAAATTTGAGTGGGGCAAACTTTGTATTAAGAAGTATTTCACTAATATGAAATTATAGAATATTTAATTTTTCAGTGCTCTACAAAATCTCCCAATATTTTCAATTGGAAAATTGGGGGGAAAGTCCTCACATTTTCATGCTACTCGTTTGAAATGAGTGAAATGCTTTTTGAGATGCAGCTATTTTAAAAGATATTTTTATTTCAAAAAGAAAAATTACAGTACAATGTCAGATCACGTTATTTCTTTTTGAAACAACTCACCCTCAACAAAAAAAATTATAAACAATCATTGCAGTACTATAAACACAAAATTTAAAGGCTAAAGCAGGGGTGTCGAACTCATTTGTTACGAGAGCTGGATCTGACATAAATGAGACCTTGTTGGGCCAGGGCCATGTGTGTCATAAAATGTAATGCCAGGTAGCGGAGATATAAACTTTATAAAGGACACAAACACAAAGGTTACTTAAAATAAAAACATGCTTAAAACATTAGCACTCTTGCAATATTTTGTTTATTTAACCGTGTCTGATAACTGACAGGTCTTGCTCTGAATTATTGCATCAAAATGTCTGTGCTGTTGCAATCTTGAGTATGCTGTTCAGGTGTGTATCTGTAAGCCGCAAACCTACAATGACGCAGCAACAGTAGAACTGGAAGAAGAAGCAGAAGACTGCCAGTTCCACTGTGGGCCTGATAGAAGCCCTCCAGGGGCCTGATAGAAGCCCTCCAGGGGCCTGATAGAAGCCCTCCAGGGGCCTGATCTGGCCCCCAGGCCGCATGTTTGACACCCCTGATTTAAATGTTGTTTATACAACTACTTTGGAGCTGCGGTGGCTCAAGTGGTTAAGGCGCTGAAC